GCACTATGCTACCAGAGCTTCCCTATATATAAGCTTTGCTGGTTTTTGTTTCTCTAGAGAACCCAGTCTAACACACTTATTCAATCTGTATGCAAAGCAAATAATCCAAGAAGCTGGACTATATGAAAAAGAATGCAGCATCACAATTGGAGGAAGACTCATTAACAACCGGCAATATGCAGATGACACAACCTTGCTTACTGGAAGTGAAGAAGACTTGAAGCACTTGCCGATGAAGATCAAAGACTACAGTCTTCAGTGTGGATGACATCTCAACACAAAGAAAATGAAAATCCTCACAACTCAATCAATGAGCAACATTACAATGAATGGAGAAAAGACTGAAGTTGTCAAGGATTTCATTTTACTTGGATCTACAATAAACACCCATGGAAGCAGCAGTCAAGAAATCAGACATCATATTTCACTGGGCAAGTCTACTGCAAAAGACCTCTTTAAAGTGTTATGAAGCAAAGATGTCACACTGAAGACTGAGGTGCACCTGACACATGCCATGCTATTTTCTGTTGCCTCATACACATGTGAACACTGGACAATGAATAAGGAAGATAGAAAAAGTTGATGCCTTTGAATTGTGGTGCTGACAAAGAATACTGAAAATACCATGGACTGCCAGAAGATCAAACAAATCTGTCCTGGAAAACGTGTGGCCAGAATGTGCTTTGAAAGTGAGAGTGGCCTACTTTGGTCTCACCTACTTTGGTCATGTTGGCAGAAGGGACCATTTCCTAGAGAAGGATATCATGTTTGGTAAGGTGGAGGGTCAGCGAGAAAGGGGAAGGCCCTCAACAAGATGAAGTGACACAGTGGCTGCAATGATGGGCTAAGGCATAGCAAGGATTGTGAGGCTGGCACAGGACCATCCAGCGTTTTGTTCTGTTGTATACAGTGTATATGTAGGAGCTGACTCAGCAGCATCTAACAACAACATAATCCTTTGAATTTACAAAACAAAATGTACAAATAGATTCAAATTATTTACATATTTATAAATAAATGCAAACTATTTATACATTCAACTAAAGTATTTTTTATATGTTAATTTTATAATTTTTTAAAAAAAAGCTAGTTAAAAAATAGAATCACTTTACCCCTTGGGCCCCTAAATAACTTGAGGATAAATTCTTCCCCATTTCTTCTACTGGGTGTGTCATACTCAGAGGCTTTTCTCACCTCTTTCTTTTAACCTGTCTTTTATTTTTTCTGTGACTCAGCAGTCAACAATTGTATACAGAGTACCTTCAGTGAACCAAGCACTTTAAACTTAAAGTTTAAAATATGACACATGATCTTGACTGAATACACTTTATATTCCCACTTTTCTTCCTCAAATCAATTTAAATTATGTGATTTATTGTTAGGAACAATAAACATTTTAAACCAAATTGCCTACTCAACACCACCTGGATTTAATAAGCATCTCAAATCCTCCTAAATGTACTACTGTTCCCATAGCTTTCCCCATCTTAGTAAATGGAAACTCCATTCTTTTAGTTGCTTGGACCAAACACCTTATCCTGTTATGCATAGTAGAATCATGTAAATTCTATATTTAAAATACATTCAGAATCTAATACCCATTACTTACTAGTTCCACCAGGAGACTCTTGTCCAAGCCAACATCATCTTTCAAATGAATTGCTACAACAAACTCCAAACTGGTCTCTCTACTTTTACTTTTGACTCTTATTATTTTCCTGTCCACAAAGCAGTTACAGTGATCCCTATCTTTTCCGTCTTGTGTCAATATCCCTCAATGACTTCCCATTTCATTTAGAACAAAAATCAAATTCTTGAAATGGCCTAGAAGACCATCCAGGATCTGCCTGCCTGCTTGTCCACTTCTCTCAGCTCATCTCCTGCTACTCTTCCCATTCTGCTCCAGCCACACTGACCTAGAAGTTACTTTAGATTCTTCTCTCCCTAACTTCAAATCCATCATCTAAACCAAAACCAAACACATTGCCATCATGTCTATTATAACTCACAGAGACCCTACAGGGCAAAGTAGAACTGCCCCACGGGGTTTCCAAGGCTGTAATCTTTACAGAAACAGATCAACGCAGCATGCTCCCACAGAGCAGCTGGTTGGTTCAAACTGCCAACTTTTAGGTCTGCAATTGAGTGCTTAACTACTGTGCCACCTGGACTCCTTCAAATCCATCATAGGTTCCATTAACTCTACTCTCAAACCACATCCACGAAAAGAGTCCCTGGGCAGTGCAAATCATTAATGTGCACACCTGCTCACTGAAAAGTTGGAGGTTTGAATCCATCCAGAGCTGCCTCAGAGGAAAGACTTGGTTATCTACCTCTGGAAAAATCAGCTATTAGATACACTATGGAGCACAGATCTATTCTGACATACAGTAAGGTCATCGTGAGTTGGAATTGACTTGAGGGCAACAGGATTAGCACCCCTAGAAGGCCATCATTATCTCTCGCCAAGACAAGAGTCTTCTCACTGCTACTATTCTTACAATCCATTCTCCATACAATGGCCAGAATGACCTTTTTAAAATGTAAATCAGATTCCATCACCGACTTAAGACACCCAATGGTTTCACAGTACACTTGAATAAAAGCCAAAATTCTTACCCTTCCAAACAAGGCCCCTCCTACCTGATTCTCCAATAGCCTCATATAGCACTGTTGCCCTTACCTACTACACATTCCAACTAAATGGTCTCCTTCCTTGTTCATTTAACATTCCAAGTTTGTTTTTGCCTTAGATCTCTAGTACTCACCAGTCTTCTCGGAATGTTATGCATAAAATGGTTGTTTCCTTTTTGTCATTCAAGACTGCTTAAACGTCACCTCAGAAAGGGCTTCCCTGACAATATAATCTAAAGTAGCTCCCCAGGCATTCTCTATTATATTTCCCTATGTTAAAGATAGGAGCTCTGGTAGCATAGTACCTAAGGCACTTGACTGCTAACCAGAAGGCTGGCGGTTCAAACCCACCAGCCACTCCTTGGAAGGAAAGTTGGGCAATCTACTTCCGTAGTGATACTGCCTCAGAAACCCAAGGAGGGGTCACTATGAGTCGGGTCGACTCGATAGCACATAACAACAACAACATGTTAAAGATAAATATATTTCCTATTCTTACCCAAGATTCTTTTGCTTTTTGGTTTTTGTTTGCCTCTCCACAGAAGAACATAAGCTTTAAACAGTCATACTCAGGGAAAGAGTAACTTTGAACTGTCACATGACCATATAATTGGTCCTGGATTATTTAAACCTGAGATGGAGGTTTAAATCTCTTTTGACCATTTGTTTTAGATGTATATTGTTTAGTTTTAAAATACAAAAAAATTAAATTATAATACAAATAGGCACTCTGAATTGACTTAGAAGCTATTGAGCCCATACTGTGTACTAGGGGCCCTCTTTTAGGTGAATAAGCAGAATGAGTGTGACTGTTCAAAGTCAACAGCAAAGGGAAAGAGACTTAGCAAAGATAATCTGAAACAGTGGAAAATTTGAAAGCCATGCGTGTATGGCCTTAAAACAGATTATATAAAATTACCATAGTATTAAAGTAAAATCAGTTGAAATATATCAGCTTTGGGGGTGTAAGGAGAGTACAGATTGGCAGGCAAAAAACTGAAGTATGATCTAGAGAAAGAAAAGGGAGAAGATGAAGAAGATAAAGCTGTAAGTAGCAGGGGTGAGGGATTGAAAATGTACCACAGATAATCTCCAATATGAATAATCCACACTGGGTAATAGAATATTGACTATAATTACATTCATCCTACTGACCTTGTTCTAAATTATTATGGATTATTACTACGCAAGTTATTTTGTTCCACACCAGAGGTGGCTGTATTTCGCTATCAGATGACATGACCTCTAATTCAATAATGTCTGTAATGCACTGGTATCCTCAGATAAAAGCTGTCTATAATGTCTGAACAAAGGTGAATTAGTTATCCAATTCACACACGCAATTAACTCTCTTAATACCTGAGAGACCATGGAGCCCCTTCTGAATTTCCTATTAAATACTGCATATGGAGGTCTTCCCTCCATCTGTAGTTATCTTGTGCTGCACTTCATAATAAACAATATTAATAGTTTATTGCCCCCATCAAAAATCTTGCATTAGTTCTCATAAGAGACCTCATTCCAAAAAGCAGTGACTCCTTTCCCTGGGAAAATGCATTCAATTCAAATGTTATGCCTATTGGTAAAGCACAACAGTTCTTTATTCTTGGTAATAATATAAAATAATGATACTATCTTTGTGAAATACAAAAATAATTTTTTACTACTTTAACAATGTCTTAAAAGCCAAAAGCCAATATTTATTAAGTGAATTTATACTTCTATGCTGTACTCAGCATAAATAAAAGATGACTTATTTAAAATACCTATTAAAAGGCAAAAACAAATCAAAACTTAGTATTTTGTTGGCCACCTGTTCTGTCTACTAAAAACTGAAATTTTATAAATAGTTTGAAGGCACAGCACTATGCTTTTCTTTGTAACCATATTTGATGCCACTGGCTGCATTAGTCAAAACCCAGATCAGAATAACTAGGTAAAGTCAAATGTTAAGCAAACACCCTTGCCTTCTGAAAAAGGAGCTAATTAATTAATTCTTCTGGGGATGCTTTTTATTTCAGTCTTCTAACATTAATGTATCTTTTTACCAGAGACCAAGAGAACAAAATAAAATCCCTAAAATAAAACCTAGCTCTCATTATGTCAGTTTTCAGAGAAAGGAAGTAGTTAAATATAAATAAGAAATATTATTATAGTTCAAATAAAATCTGCTGCTAATCTGGGTCTTCATTTTCCCTCACAACTCAAAGTAGGGAGGTAGAGGAGAGGAATAAGAAAACAGCTTCTTACATGCATTTCATACATTTTTATCTGTACATGAAATTACAGAGTAAAGGACATTATAAACTGAAAAGCTAAGTAAGTGACATTCTTCACTTCATAAACAATTTAAACTACAAACCAACCTTCCACATGCTGCAACACAAGAAATACTGACTCCTCAGAGATGATGTACTTGTGCAGACACACCATGTTGGGCACACAGCGGGGGATGATGGTCTTTCTGTTCCTGCTGTATTCACTGCTTTTCCTTAGACCCTGACAGAGAACAAAAAGGTCAGTTGTACCCTCAGTTGCCTTTGGAGCCTGCTGTGCTCTGTGTTTATCAACCAAACTAATCTATCCGAGTTACTCTGGGCTTCAGAGAAACCACTCATCTGCTGCACTATGCCCCCCAGTCCCTAGAGGCTCTGCTGATGGCATCTGGCGTGAATCCAGAGAACAGAAGATGCCACAAAGCTGCCATTAAAATCAATTACGTGGGTCAGTGTTTTTATTAGAGATGCTCTCAAACTAAGTCATCAGGATGACACACAGTTATTTCTCTATGACCTTTTCTTAAGTTTTATTTTATTTATGTATACCTTTAAAGCAGTAGACATTGTGAGATCAATTCAAATTCCTGAGACACAAAAGATATGCCCAGATTAAACAGGCAATTAAAATTTTCTATTTCCAAAAAGTACAGAGATTATTAAGTTTTCTCCAAAAGAACAAAGTATGTGTATTTTCAGTTGTCAAATCTAGGTTTGAAAGACTGTGGAAACATCAGTGATAAGGTGTATTTATAAAAAGAACTCTGTTTCAGTTAAGTGTCAATGTGACCTACTACCATCTTGATAAGCCAAAGGAAAAGTACTAGAAAAAGAAATATAAAATTAATCAATCAACCTTCTGGATGCAATGGAAATGCTTAAATTAGGATATTTTTAGAATATGTACTGCCATAATCCAATTCAAATACAATTTTGAAATTAGAAAATTGAAGGTTTTTCTCTCATTCATTTAGTTAGAAATTCAGTTATAATTAGAATCAGAATTGAGCCTAGATCAAAAACAGGGCCAAGGATGTAGATAACACTTTGCCAAATGCCTGTAACAAAGACTTTAAAGCAGAATTTCAGTTCTTAAGAACTGCAATCATAATCAAAGGTGAAATTGTGTGTGGTCTTCACAAATTATACAAATGTATTTCAGATGTACTTAACTACACACTTAAATAGCAATGATTTTCAAGTTATCCAAATTAGTACCTCCATAACATAAAACTCTTTAAATATGTGTGATGAGAGTATTTACCAACTACGATAGAAGAACACACAAAAAATAAATAAATACAGATCACCACAAACATAAGAGAACATGCAAAACACCCAGGGTAAAAAATAATATAGTTTCTTTCAGAAGCCTAATTTTAAAAATAAGTGTTTACATTTATTAAATATACAAATTCTACTTACTTTTAAAATGAATGTCTGTTCTGTCCTCTTGTCTATTACAAGCAAAACCTACATAAAAGACATAAAGAATTTACTCACAATACAATAAAACATTAACTCTTACCTTCTGAAATTAAACTTTAAGAGTTTGGGGAGGCACTGGAATTGACCAGCCAAAATGGCTATTTGTGAATAGATTTTTTTTATAAGTTACCAAATCACAGAATTAAAATAGTCATTATTGTTTTTTACAAAATAGTATTTATTATTATTTCCTTTCTTAAATTTGTGCCCATTCCAAAGAAAGGTGATCCCACAGAATGTAGAAATTATAGAACAATATCACTAATATCACATGCAAGTAAGATATTACTGAAGA